AAATAGTGTAATCTGATAAGTTAGAAATTTGGATTAGTCTTCAACAATATAGAGATCTAGTTATGTATAAACTTGCATGTAGCAAGATCTCATAATACATTGGTTAATGTAAAAACTTAAGAATGCAGAAATTACATTATAATAAAAATGACATATCCCTTTATTCCCACCTTTTGCACATTTCCATCGTCGTTTTCAATCGCTTCAAAATTGCATACAAAGCAGTACCAGAGAAATGTATTTATTTTGAGATGAAAAAGCTGCAATTTCCATGGTGCATACGTATATAACGATTGATTATAATATATGCCGGTGGTTCACGATAACCGAAGCATGTTAATCCACGAGCAAATACGAAGCCACATCGAGAGCCGCGTGAACGTCAATATTTATTCGGTAGATTTTCATTTAATATGTCGATGGATACGTCGAATGCTGGTTCCTAGAACAAACACGTGGTTTTATGCAACACTGACAGCTTTGAGTGGATGAAAATCGATTAACATAGCTGAGATCGTTCGATTGATTACATTTGTTGCGTACCGTCGAGTATTTCAATCGTTTTATCCGTTACATGTTCAATAACTGCTTGCTACTGTTTTATTACGGGTCCATTTTCGAGCTTGATGTCACCAGCGGAGAGAATTAACGGATAATTCTACAGTAAGTCTTTTATTATGTTTCGTGTTGCGTATTTTATTTGTTGCAGTTATTTTACAATTGATGTTGCCATTTTGTTGTTGTTTATGTTGATGTTTGAAATTGATATGGTATTGGCTGTGAATTTAACGAGAGGTCATGCGTCATTCAGTGAACGTCATGGAGGTTGTTGGGTTGAAAGGATCATTATTTTAAAGTAGGAGTTTGGGATTTTTGGAATTTGGGAATTTAGGAGTTTGGGACGTTGGGAATTGGAAATTTAGGAATTTGGGGCCTTTGGAATTGGAAAATTAGGAATTTGGGAAATTTAGGAGTTTGGGACCCTTGGAATTGGAAATTGAGGAATTTGGAAATTTAGAAGTTTGGGTCCTTTGGAATTGGAAATTTAGGAGTTTGGGACCTTTGGAATTGGAAGCCTTTGGAATTGGAAATTGAGGAATTTGGGAATTTAGGAATTTGGGACGTTTGGAATTGGAAATTTAGGAATTTGGGACTCTTGGAATTGGAAATTTAGGAGTTTGGGACCTTTGGAATTGGAAATTTAGGAGTTTGGAAATTGAGGAATTTGGGAATTTAGGAATTTGGGACCTTTGGAATTGGAAATTTAGGAATTTGGGACCCTTGGAATTGGAAATTTAGGAATTTCGGACTCTTGGAATAGCAAATTTAGGAATTTGGAAATTTAAAAATTTTGGACCTTTGGAATTGGAAATTTAGGAGTTTGGAAATTGAGGAATTTGGGAATTTAGGAATTTGGGACCTTTGGAATTGGAAATTTAGGAATTTGGGACCTTTGCAATTGCAAATTTAGGAATTTCGGACTCTTGGAATAGCAAATTTAGGAATTTGGAAATTTAAAAATTTTGGACCTTTGGAATTGGAAATTTAAGAGTTTGGAACCTTTGGAATTGGAAATTTATGAATTTGGGACATTTCAGATTGGAAATTTAAGGATTTGAAACATTTGGAATTGGATATTTGGAAATTTCGGGCATTTCAAATTGAAATACTAGGACTTCGGAACATTCAGAATCGAAAATTTAGAAATTTAAAAATACTAAAATATGGAACGTGTCCCATAATCCCTTAAACTCGCAGTACCATCATCCTCTAAACAAGAAGTACAAACATTTCTTTTTCCACTTTGCGCATCTCCAAATATTCAGACACGTTCTCATGAACATGACACAAGAACTTGGCAGCGTATCTTATGACAATCGTTATGAAACATGAAGCGTGAAATATAAATGGCGAAAATTGCAAAAGAGACAGGAAAATTGCTGAAGCGGACTAGACGATCATAAGTATTATGTTTACCTTGATGCACACAACAGGTTATGCAAGTCTATATGAAATATACATAATCGTTTCGAGGGTACGCATTCTGTGACGTCTCTGGGGGATGATTTGCATGCTTCATACCATGAAACGTTATTTAACGACAAATTTGCCTACATCGAAAGTGAATTCTGTCGCTAAATTATATTAATGACGGTACGCACAAATATCATGTGCGAATATGTTATCAGAGGAAAGTTGATTCTAACACATTAATTTTATGGATTTTATGATGAACATCGTTATGGATTTTTGATTGACAACTTAATAGTATAATTTTTAGGTGTTTCATTTTTAAATTAGCGAATTTCGGATGTTCTGAAATTTATATTACAGGTATTGGAATATTGGGTTTCGCAAATTTTTTAATTTTTTAATTTTCAAATACTCAACTCAAGTTTTTCAAATTTCTTACATTTCGCATATTTCACAAATTTTTATAATTTTGATAATTTCCCAAATTTTTCTAATTTCTTAAATTTCTCAAGTTTCCCAAATTACATAAATTTCTCAAACATCTTAATTTTCTCAAATTTTGATAATTTCTTAAATTTCTCAAGTTTCCCAAATTACATAAATTTCTCAAAATTCTTAATTATCTCGAATTTCTCAAACTTTGATAATTTCTTAAATTTCACAAATTTTGATAATTTCTTAAATTTCACAAATTTTGATAATTTCTTAAATTTCACAAATTTTGATAATTTTGATAATTTCCCAAATTTTTCTAATTTCTTTAATTTCTCAAGTTTCCCAAATTACATAAATTTCTCAAAATTCTTAATTTTCTCGAATTTCTCAAATTTTGATAATTTCTTAAATTTCACACATTTTGATAATTTTAATAAATTTGTAATTTTCTCAAATTTGATAAATACCTAAAGTCTAATTTTTTAATCCTTAAATATCAAATTCCCAAACATGTCACTTTCTACATACTACTAAACATATACTGCTGTTAATATTATACATTATATGTATTATACTATACAACCATTGTATAGTACTATACTACTATTTGTATAACAAAAATTATCATCCAAGAAAGTACCAATAATACATCAAAATTAACTACAATTATCTTGCAAACGAAGTAATTTCCTCCTATATCACCTCTCAATAGATCCGTCACATGTACCTACATACCTTATAGACTGCCCCATCCTTTTATCATTCATAAATTCCTCCGTCTTGTTTAATATCCATTATTAGTTCGATCGAAAATTCCGTTTTAAAGGGAAGGTTTAATAAGCCGTTCAGTTATTGCCCCGATATTTTTCTCCGGAATATATACCCAGCATATTAATGTTGCCATATCCCCGTAAAATTGCTTTCACCCCCTTAATTTTCCGCGTTCCTTGTATTTCGCGAACTTACGAAATTCCGCGCGGCTAATATTTCGCGCCAAAGGCTCCATCGTAAGAAATTACAATTTCATGAATTTGAAATCCGCTAGGAACTTTGCTCGACCAACCTCGTATTTTTCGACGCTTTCCACAGCTCCCAGGTCGCTCGATGAAATGAAATTTCACGTTAATTGCGATTCATTGAGCGATAAAACTGTGAGCTATAAGAAATTCCTTGATCGACATCAACATGTTCTTTCACGTTAAACGAACTTCAACTTCATTTAACACGCAATTTTGACGGAGTAATGCCCGAACAATTTTCTTGTGCCGCTTTCGCGCACAGCTTTGTTGCAGAACTTTGTAATTACGTCTTTATGATTTTGTACACGGGTGTTCATTTTTTGTGCACGCTATAGTCAACATATGAATGGGAATAAATTTTACTCTTTGCAACGAAAATCTGATTGTGCTATCGATGTTAGTAGGGAGTTGAAGTACTTCATTTTCAAATACGCCACTTTGCTCCATTAATACATGATTACAATTGAGAATGAATACAGTTCATGTTAAAATTAATTCATGTATTTTATGATTATAGAACGTGTTTCATAGGAACATTAGTGCAGTTCTTAATGAAATTACTTTATTTTCACATACATCATGATTAGAGAATTTATTGGATTAATATATTATTGCACTTTACGTAAAAAGTCTTCCATTTTCATATACATCATCATCAGAAAATTTTGTCCATTAATGTATGATTCTAGTTTGTATCAAAATTACTTCGTTCTCATATACCTAATGATTAGAACATTTTTTCATTACACAAATGAAGTTTACAAAACTACAGAATTTATTTCATCAATATATTATTGCACTTTATGTAAGAAGTCTTGCATTTTCATATACATCATCGTCAGAAAATTTTGTCCATTAATGTATGATTCTAGTTTGTATCAAAATTACTTCGTTCTCATATACCTAATGATTAAAACATTTTTTCATTACACAAATGTAGTTTACAAAACCATTTCATCTTCATGTACTTCATATTTAGAAAATTTGTGCGATTAATACATGAACGCAATTAGTGTCAAACTTCATGTACATCATATATGTAGATCATCTATCTCTTCATAAACCTCTTCACTCAAGTTCAGAAAATAATTCCCACTAATATATTATTGTGCCAAACTTCATATACATCATATATGTAGATCATCTACCTTTTCATAAACCTCTTCATTCAAGTTCAGAAAATGATTCCCACTAATATATAATTGTGTCAAACTTCGTATACATCATGTATGAAGATCATCCACCTCTTCATAAACCTTTTCATTCAAGTTCAGAAAATGATTCCCACTAATATATGATTGTGTCAAACTTCATATACATCACGTATGTAGATCATCTACCTCTTCATAAACCTCTTCATTCAAGTTCAGAAAATGATCCCCACTAATACATAATTGTAGTGAGCTCTCTTCAAAACTCCATTATGTATATAATCACAAAAAGCGAGTATATAAAATTAAAATTAACCCCCACAACAGCACAAATTCGTTCCCCAAAAACAAAACACCTATTCCCACAGAAACTCTCCCTGATTACAAAACATTGCTAACATTTTTGCCAATTTTCTTGCAGGACCCGCATCGCCGTTGCCCGACCTAACAGGCTACAGTCGTTGCGGCTACACTCTAGTATTGAAAGGGTTGGTTTTTCCCCAATGGAAGCGGAGAGTCTTGGCTGTCATCGGATCCAGGCTGTTCCTTTATCCCGGTAAGTGTTCTTCGTCACGTTCTTCTACTGATCCTCGACACCCTGACCTATAAAAACCGGTTGCTAAGAATAGCTCCTCAAAGCTGTAGAACGATCTCAAAAAATGACAAGCACAAAATACCGTCGGTTCTGTATCTTTGTACCGTCTTCGATTTCCCGTTGCAATTATCGAAACCTGCATCGTCGCGTTGCGAGTTCGGAAGTGGGTTTCTAGGATCATGCTTCGGGGCTCGTGTGCTTTGGAGCATGTTAATGCGCTGGCTGAAATGTTTCAGAGTATTGGTGAGATTTTTGTAGCTGTCGCGGCGGAAAATTGGGAGGGAGATTCGTAAATAGGGGAGAATGAAGTTTTGGGGGTGTGGGGTTTGGAGGTGTAGGGATGTGGAGATGTAGGGATTTGGAGATATAGGGATTTGGGGATGAAGGGATTTGGGAATGTGGAAATTGGGATATGTGAGAATTTGGGGATGTGAGAATTTGGGGATGTGAGAATTTGGGGATGTGAGAATTTGGAGATGTGAGAATTGGGAGATATGGGAAATTGGGGATGTGAGAATTTGGAAATTTTGAAATTTGGATATGTAGAATTTTGGGGACGTGAGAATTGGAGGATGTGGGAATTTGGAGATGTGGGAATTTGGAAATGTGGAAATTTGGAGGTATGGGAATTTGGAGATGTGGGAATTTGGAGATGTGAGAATTTAGGAATGTGGAAATTTGGAGATGTGAGAATTGGGAGATATGGGAATTTGGAGATATGGGAATTTGGAGATGTGGGAATTTGGAGATGTGGAAATTTGGAGATGTGGGAATTTGGAGATATGAGAATTAGGAGATATAGGAAATTGGGGATGTGAGGATTTGGAAATATGAGAATTGGGAGATATAGGAAATTGGGGATGTGATGATTTGGAAATTTTAGAATTTGTATATGTAGAATTTTGGGGACCTGAGAATTGGAGAATGTAGAAATTTGGGAATAGTGAAATTTGAAAATGTAGAAATTTGAAATACTAAAATAGGTATCTAACAACATAGCATCTGACAATACATTGTGTAATATAAAAATTTGAAAATGTACAGATAAAATTATAATAAAAATTACATATCCCTAAATATCCACATCCCTCTTTACAAAAATGTCTCGACTAACATTTTAAGTGGTTCCCATCTCTCCACCAAGTCACAGAAGCTCCCTGTCAAAAGTTTTGTCCCTGTCGACTTATCTTCGAGTTTGATTCATCTTCGTATCGAGAATTCCTGCGATCAGTCGTCGAACGGTGTTCCTCGACGGATAAAGCATTATCTCGATACAAGTAACTCTACGACTGATAAGTGAACTTTAAATTGGATTTCTTTCCGTGGAGGGAACCGCGAACGGTTGAAGGAAACCACCCCCGTTAGATAAGGGCTGTCAGCGGGGATAAAAACATCCGTTTCATTGGTTCCCCATGGACGATGGAGTAGTATACTCCTGTTCCGACCAGCTGTCGGTTTTTCTGATAGTTCGGTTAACTTCGTGACAGGAATAAGGAATATCGTATGCTCATACAGCTCCTGAAGATAAATCTGGTCTGGGTAAAATTGAATAACGATGTTATACTCCCTTGGGAACTTTGCTGTTTCCGAATACTTAGATGTCTTTTAAATTATTTCAAACTCCTGTGAAAGGTTATGCATACTAGGTTATTGTAGTTCAGTGATTTAAGGGTTGTTTTATGATTAAGGTATTTTAGGATTAAAGTATTTTCTTTGATTTGTCTTTCAAGATTATACTGATTATGGTTGAATTTTCTTGAGATTTTAAGTTTTTCGTGGGAGGATTTTTTATACAGGGTGTCTCACAACTAGTGTAGGTGAAATGGGGGATAGCTGACGTGATTCTGAATAAAATTTCCCTTTGCAAAAATGGGGTATGAAGCTTCGTTTCTGAATTATTAAGGAAAAACGCGGACCAATCAGAGCGCGAGGGTTACGCATGCGCAGACGCGAGAGCGCAGCTTCGAGCATAATGGCTGAGGGCGCGCAGTACTCGCGCTCTGATTGGTCCGTGTTCAGCTACCCCCCATTGGTCCACGTCAGCTAGTCCCCATTACAGGGACCTACACTACTTGTGAGACGCTCTGTATAAATATATACATAAACTAAAATTTGTAAATATAAATACGAAAAGAAAAATAAAAGAGTTCTCAAATGTACAGGTATAAACACAAAATGAAATTTATAAATATAAATATAACAAAAATAAAAAAATTCTCAAATGTACATATATAAACAGAAATTAAAATTTATATATACCAATATAAAAAAATGAAAGAATTCTTAAATGTATTTTGTATCCTGTATTTTGTGCTTGCAATAGGGATTTAATGATTTAAGGGTAGTCTTATAATTTTTCTTGCAACCATATCGTATGTAAAATATCATTACAAAATTTAGTAATTTAAGGGTAGCGCCTTTTATTCAAAGACAGTGAATATTGATAGGAATTTTCAGTGCGAAGAGATTCCTCTGAAATATTAAAATAAAAATTGTTTTTCTCTTTCTTCAATTCGAAGGTTCATTATGGGAACGTGAGTGATATGTTCATTACCACATAGGGGTGTCTTGTAACCATTAGTTATTCACTGAGCTAAATACTAGGTGCGTGAGCTACTAATTATTCCGTTGCATCTAATTTAATTAAGTTAATGGTTTTCGAGACGTAGACACTGATCACAGATATTATGTTAATGAAATAATTGTTTTGCATGCTGTCGCGTTCAAGACAAATAATTTTCATCTGAATTTATGAAATACTTTTATTTAAGTTTGCGAAATATTTTAATGCGAGTTTGTGAATTATTTTTATTCAAATGTGTAAAATATTTTAATCTGAGTTTATAAAATATTTTAATCATAATATTGTCAGTTAAAAGTATTTATGAAATTTTTTGTAATTATGAAGTTTCGTGCATCATAATTTTAACTCAACTCAATTTTAAACAAACGCAATGCATAATTATTCATCTCAAAAATAATAATTAAAATCAAACGCAAAATTTCCCACGGTAAATGACTATAACGTTCAAAACATAATAGATACATTTCATTGAAACGTAATCCTTCCTGCGTTTACGTAAATGTCCATAACTCCTTCCAGAAGATAAAAGCATGTCACTCAGGGTTGAAACGAGAACATCCATGCCTCGATTCCCGCGCATGCCTTGGCTACCATGAAACACCATGATTTATCTACGTCCTGTTCTTTATCCTTTCTCGTAGAACGATCCTGTCACCGTCCCCAGTGCGTGTCACGGATCATGAATTTCTTTCGGGAAAACGATTTACCATAATGGCGTACAATTACCGTTTCTAAAATCCGGATCCATCGTGTCGGCTATAGAATGACTGATCGACGATGTAACCATTTTTTAAAAATTGTTTACGACACCTGACATTGATGAACATTGATTGACCTTTGATTTTAACTTTACAATTTTATTTTTTTTTTATGCATTTATTAAAATCTCTTTCAGAAGTGAAACTGATGGCGTATGCTTTTAAAAATATTCACTGGAGTGAATATATGTATGTCTGTTTGAAAGAATTTTGTTAAATCATTTATAATGTTCATTTGTGTAGGATGATATAATTTATTCGTGTCTGTTTATTGTTAGGAAAAAATGATATAAATCAGTAAGTCTACTTAAATAATAATATCATATGAGAACCATGAATAAAACCATTAAATTAGTTTAAAATATTATGTTTAATATATACAACATGTACATATACACAGTTATTAATTTAAAAAATAATACAGTGATGTATCTCTTTTTGTTCCAACAAATAGCAAAACTAAAAATGTACACGAACAAAGTGAATATTATATCAGTTTCATAAAATAAGGGTTTCGTTATGAATATACTTGTGCCATATAACTTGTATGATATACATACATATGTATATGTGTGGTACATCATATATGTCATATATGTTTATGTGTTCATATATGTCACATATGGTTATGTGTTTATATATGTCATATATGGTTATGTATTCATATATGTCATATATGTTTATGTGTTCATATATGTCACATATGTTTATGTGTTCATATATGTCACATATGGTTATGTGTTCATATATGTCATATATGGTTATGTGTTCATATATGTCATATATGTTTTATGTGTTCATATATGTCATATATGTTTATGTGTTCATATATGTCACATATGTCTATGTGTTCATATATGTCATATACGTCTATGTGTTCACATATGTCATATATGTTTATGTGTTCATATATGTCATATATGCATCATGCATCATATATAACATACATGTATCATGACTTTTAACGTGACTATTATATGTAAATGCAATTCTGTCAATATAAATTTTATATAACTTGTTAGTAATATATCGAGCGAAGTTTTTGTTGTACACGTGAACGACTAATCGTCGGTGATGGTCGTATCGATAAAACGTAATTGTTTTTGCGGGTAGAGCTATTAGCTTTTTAGAACGAGGGTTTTTCGAACCTTCGTGCCAATTTCAAATTGATGGCCGAGTTGGTTCAATATTGATTGCAACCATTGCAATTTTTTAATCCTTGTACTTTTTACAATGTCTGATACGCAGTAATCGAAAACGAGCGTTTTTCAACAGTCAGCCAATTTGTATCGCAAATACGATTAAGAGATTGTATAAACATTTTTAACCAATTTGAAGCTTCGCATCGATATACGTCGCAAGTTTAATCAAATGATAACGTTGATCAAAATTTACTAGATTTGTGGAGAGTATTATTTCTCGACGCAGTAATTTTCGAATAAATGAAAAAATTAAACGAACTTTAGGTAATATAAATGTACACAAGCAAAACTCTTCATTTATTAATATGGTTAAATGATAAACTAACACGAATAAAATATCGGGATTAGTTAGTTATTTAATATATAAATATAAATTTTATGAAAGTCACATCATGCTATTGAAGTGTTAAGACATTG